TTTTTTTTTACAGCAGTTGGCCATCATGCCACCGAAATTAACAAGAGAATTTATAAAATAAAAATTAAATCAAATATTAATCTGCTCTTACATCCTACGAGAAATGCAGTTTAAAGATGCAGGACACTAGTGCGTAGTAAGGTCACCATCGTTACGTCACTACTGAAAGATGTGTTGAGGTTTGATACTCATATGACGTCACTTCTTATTATAATAGTCCATTACATCACATACTAGTTCTGGAGCATATGGAAGTACTTCATTGTTTTAGTTCATATTGTTATCATTATTACGTACATATGTTTATTTTTTTTTTCACAGATGCACGACCGAGACAATAAGTATATTGGAACTAAAAGAAAGTTGAATCTGAGTGTATTTATTCCAAGTAAATTCTCGAATTGTTTGAACTGATATCAATTCCCCCACGTTTGTGTTTTGTTTTCATGTTGTGGTTGTAATAATTTATTTTGAATGTGATCTAGCGCGCTAGACTACGGATTAAAATTTCCAAGGTTCCAGCCCAAAATGGGCTCTGCAATTTCAATTGTGGGCACTTTATAAAATTGGCAGTCCACCCGTTATTCCATTAAAAGTAGGGAAGTAGACGGTGGGTGCTGCTGACTGGTTAGCAGTTCTAAGTTATATTTCAACCTTGAGGTTTCTGACCTGGCAGTTTAAGCCATTTAGGTTAAAAACAACAATTGCATTTCGAGCCTACTTTGTGACAAAAGTATATTATATAGGTAGCAAGCGTCTTAAACAGTTTACAGAATAATCATATTTAAAGCCCGGCATGGCCAGGTGGTTTGGGCGCTCGACTCGCAATATGAGGGTCGCGGGTTCGAATCCCCGTCACACCAAACATGCTCGCCCTTTCAGCCGTGGGGGCGTTATAATGTGACGGTCAATCCCACTATTCGTCGGGAAAAGAGTTAGCGGTGGGTGGTGATGACTAGCTGCCTTCCCTCTAGTCTTACACTGCTAAGTTAGGGACTGCTAGCGCAGATAGCCCTCGTGTAGCTTTGCGCGAAATTTATAAACAAACAAACAAATCATATTTAAATTCTCTCAAGCTATATACAGATGTTGAGTACGTTACATCAAAACGATTTTGAAGCTTCATCTCGTTGTTACAGTCCATGTCGCCACACAAAAGGCTCTGTCGTAGGGCTGTTATGTCCAAATCAGGTGCTTTCCATAATTCATTTAGTGTACGAAGACGATGGTTTTTCTAGTGCCCATTTCAACAGTCTAATGGCACACAAATTCGTGAGCGGCTTGATCAGTTTGTTTCATATAAAATAGATTGAATACCTTAGGTTTGAGAACTTTAATGGATTGCAACTGCCTAACGAAAGAAAAGGAGATGACGTTTTGGCTTCTGTACTGAGGCCTTCTTCAGTATAAAAGCCGAACTTTTTTTTCAAGAGGCAGTTGCAATCCATTAAAGTTCTCAAACCCACATTGTCTACTCTGCCTACAGTTCCACTGAAACAGCATGAATACCGGTTTAATTCTGCAGCTGCTTGAAGACGGTTGAACAAATATGTCGCGGGAGCAACTTGTGTCGTTTTTTGCAGCCGGATATCCTTCTTGATCATGTTGCGTATTGTTGCCTGGGGCATGTGGACGGATTTTGCCACTGACCTTTGCTTACGACTTGTTGTAGGTCAGTTTCTGGATAGTCGTGCACACCAAGTTGATCCATAGTCCTTTGTTTTCTAATTCCATTAAAGACAGGGGATATCTCAGGTTTAGAAATTCTAAATCTCAGGTCTGAACATATCTTTATGATCTGACTGTGTGAATATTTTGCGTCACAAAAAGCTGTTGCATACCTTTCTCAAAAGCGACCAGTCTTTCGTAGGATAACACTACCTACGTAACGCCAAACAAGAACTGGCATATATACATACATATATATATAGTTGTAGTGGCATAAAATACTATCAGCTGAAATTTTCATAGTCACTTTCAACAGCTCATGGTGAAATATAATTTTTGCTGCAATATTTTGTACAGTTCATAAGTACTGACAGTGTATACCAGGAATTTTATATTATTTAAGAATTTCTAAATAAAAATTACGATCTTTTAGTATAGCTATGAAGAACCCTTGATGTTTCGCTAGGTTTAAATTTTTGGATTTTGAATCCACTTTAAAAGGGAGGGGAGGGGGACTTCAAATATCAGTAATAAAGGGTAATTACTTTCAGTTATTGATAAAAAAAAGTTATACAGTACTTTCTTTTGAATGATGTTAAATACATTAAAAACCGCGCGCAGAAGGGCGTGGCGCATAGTGACGACAGAGAATGTGGGCCATGCACAGTTTTCTAACCTTGAAGAGACTGAATCATCCTAATTTGGTCATCAAGATCTCCAGTTTTTTCATTGTCTGTTGTAAACATTAAAATGCCAAGTTATGAATATAAGAGCTTACGTTCTGTGGATTTCTTATATGTTTATGCTCGTACGATGTTGTTCTTTGTTGCCATGGTTAGTGGCCTATAAGAAAAGCGTAATTATGAATTGCTTTTTTTTTTAGTTACCAATTAATAATTAGACGTTACATGACCGTACGGATTACTAACCATGACAACGAAGCATTGTGGGGAAAAGTACGCTTACCTCGGGAGCAGAAATACAATTAATATCGAAAAACAGACTAGAACACTGGAAAAGTAGTAATTTTCACATCCAGAAAAAAATATACATAGGATATCACGTAAAGTACTTTACACGATGAGGAAGTAAATACTCTGTAAGAGGCTCGCTATGTGATACAGACTTCATACTGTAAGAAATACGCCTTGTACTTTAGAAGTGCGGTTTATATGAGAGAAGAAACACTTCTTACCATAAAAGTAAATATATCCTTTATGCCATGAGAGAAGAAACACTTCTTACCATAAAAGTAAACATATGCTTTATGCCATGAGAGAAGAAACACTTCTTACCATAAAAGTAAACA